GCATAATCGAGCCTCGATGTAATGAAAGTGTGTATGAGTGGCAGCAGCAGAGCGTTTCACAGGATTTCACTGTAAAATGGATTTTGTAGGTGAACGTGGCAGTCAACAGCAGGAGCGACCCTCAGTGGTGAGCAGTCTTGCCTCCGTATTGGAAATTTGTGAGCTTGAGCCACCACATTGAGTCTTTGAGCTCAGCTCAAGGCTGCCATTCCAGTGCTGTGCTGGGGGAAGCCCCGCATTATCAGAGGTGCCATCGTTTGGATGAGACGTAAAACCGAGGACCTGTCGGAGTTAAAGATCAACGTGGACAGTAAAGAAGAGAGTTGGTCCACGTGGACAGTCGTGTGATCCAACAACCTCACAGAGACTTAGCATAGACTTAGGGATTGCTCCAGTTGGCTGCCACATTCATCTACAAAATACACAATCGCTTCACTTTACAATGAAATCCTGCGAAACGTTTTGACATCTCTTGACTACATGACAAGGTGCGATGTCAAATGGAAGGATTATTGTTAAGGCTGCAAGAAAGTCATGATTGAACTGATTGTACTGAAAAGTGTAGTGATTTTGTAGATGTACTTGATTGCAGTCTTCCTTCTGTCACAGACCATTCCCTGCATTGCCAGACTATTCCCCACCCCTTCTACTCCTCACCCATCTACTCCCCACTCCCATCACTGCTTACCTGCGCCACTTCAACAAACCCCTGCAATGCCAAAGATGTGCACTGGTGAGCAGAGAGCCCAGCAGTGCGAGCAGGGAGCTGAGTGATGAGGAACAGAGTGACAATTCTGTTAAGGAATATGGTGAGAGTGAGAATTCTTTAGCAAGAAGAACTGAAGGTGGCAGGACAGTAGATAAAGCTGTTAAAAAAGCATACGGGATACTAGGCTTTATAAATGGGGCATAGAATACAAAAGTCAGGAAGTTATGATGAACCTTTATAAAACACTGGTTGGGCCTCAGCTAGAGTACTGTGTTCAGTTCTGGGCACCACACTTTAGGAAGGATGTCAAGACATTGGAGAGGGTGCAAAGGAGATTTACCAGGATGGTACCAGGAATGAGGGACTTCAGTTATCAGGAGAGGCCGGAGAAGCCGGGATTATTCTCCTTGGAGCAGAGAAGGTTCAGAGGAGACTTAATAGAAATTTTCAAAATTATGAGGGGATTCAATAGTGTGAACAAGGAGAAACGACTTGCACTGGCGGGTGGATCGGTAACCTAAGGACACTGAATTAAAATAGTTGTTAAAAGAAACAGAGGGGAGGTGAGGAGAAATGTTTTCAAACAGTGAGTTGTTCAGATCTGGAATGCATTGCCTGAAAAGGTGGTGGAAGCTCATTTAATAACAGCTTTTAAGAGAGAAGTAGATAATTATTTTGGGAGGACAAGTTTGCATGACTATGGGGAGAGAACAGGTGAGTGGGATTGAACTGGATAGTTCTTTTCAAAGAACCAGCACAGACATGATAGACTGAATGGCCTCCTTCTGTGCTGTATTATTCTATGATTCTATGAAGAGAGATACCAGAGAGCAAGGTAGAACTCATTCATTCAGCAAAGAGTGGGAAATCTTTCTTGAGGTTTCTTGAGGGAGAAATAAAACGTTTTTGTTAAACAAAACAAGCATTGGAATCACACGTTATGAACAGTAAATATATTTATTTGCCAGGATGGTTCAGGGTTACACCCCAGTGCCAACCTGCCCGCTCAGTGACGTGGGGTCAGCCTTCCCGAGGATGGCTGAGGTAACCTGTATTTTGACATCACTCCCTCCAAGTCCACGAATGTCATGGTGGTGTAGTGGTGGTGCTGGGTGTTCTTGTAGGTGGACAAGTCCAGCTCTTCCTGGGCAGGTTCTGGTGCTGCCTCGGGCTCTGTGAAGCAAACAAAAATAATAGCTTCACCTTCAAGCTGGATGTTTTTGGATCTTTTGCTAATATAAGAGGTTACCAGCAGATTCAGTCAAAAGTCAACTGAAAGAAAGCGTAGTTAGGCAATACCAAATGTACAACAGAACGAATTAGGTTCTCAGTGCAGATCAATGCACGGGGGAGGGGGATTAAGACTGCAGCGAAAGGGGACACCACCACTCCACATATTTTCTAAACAAGTTACGTCCAATAGCCTCCAGATATATTCACGGAAATCTACTTGCTGCACTTCATGGTTCAGCCACTGTCTTTTCCAGCAGCTTTCAAGACTCTGGTCTCTCTCCCACTGTGTTCCTCAACATCAATGTCTTCCGCTCCGCTTCATCCTCTCTAACTCACCACGTTTCAAAGCTTGCCTCAAGACTTACAAATCTCTCCTCTCACTAACCCTGGAGCTGCTCCACCTCCTCAATAGGACAGTTACATTGAATGATATTATTCCTTACGTCTCTCACAACTGTAACCAGCAGCTGCAGCTTGAGCTTCAACGGCTCCACTCTAAAATCTTTCATCTGTTGTCCCTCCAATCTGGCTCTGTGCTACCTACAGCAGAGACAGCCCTGGTGAAAGTTACAGATGACATTCTGTCCATCTGTGACCAGGGCTCTTTCGGTCTCCTCGTCCTTCTTGATATCTCTGCTGCCTTAGATACTGTAGACCACTCTCCTCTCAGCTCCACCTTCATGGTTCTGTTCTTGCCTGGTTTCAATCTTACCTTTCCCATTGTCTGCACTTAACATCCATCAACTGCTTCTCCTCCTGCCCTTGCACCGTCACTCCATGGCTGTCTGTGGAACATTGCTGTGCGCCAACTGTCTGCAGCGTTTCATCCACAAAATACACAGTAAATTTTACAGTGTATCCTGTGAAACGCTTTGAGACGTTTCAACGATGTGATAAGGCACATGCAAAGGATTATTATCAAATGCAAGGATTATTATATTACAACTCCCTCAGACTGTTTGTCCAGACACACAGCCCGAGCCATAGGTTTACTTAAGTCCAGAAAGTACCATAAAAGTCCTCATCAAACTGGGAGAGAGTAAACTACTTGAGGTTTGAATGAGAGGAAAGATGAATCCAACAAGATGGATAGATTAGGGAGTGAAGGCAGCAATACTTTCACAGGTCAGGAAAGACTTAATAATGGAAACGGAGACCAAATGCTACATATGTGTCAGAAAACAGACTGAATATAGTAATAATAATCCTTCCATTTGATATAGCCCCCCATCTTGGGTCCGTAACTCCCTGTCTGTCCAGCGCCTTGGGACATCTCCCGAAATGAAAGGCACTATACAAATGTAATTTTGGTGGTGTTGTCCTTCCAGGGAGAGAGTGTGCAAAACCATTCTAACAATCTTTCTCTGGGATATCCATGTGTAGGTGGGATACATGGAATTCTCAGTTTGGTTTGGATATTCTTAAGCACAGTGATGTTTCCGTATATGTCAGACACCCAATTGACCCCCACTAAACAAATGTGTCTGTTGCAGGGACCTGTTTGTCTACGAGAGCAGTGCGGCGGGGAGCAGGTGGGTGAGACCCACGTGCATGCGTCAGTGTGTAGTGCTGTGTGTGAGTGCTGTGTATCAGTGTGTGAGCGCTGTGTGTCAGTTTGTGAGTGCTGTGTGTCAGTGGGTGAGCGCTGTATATCAGAGCGTGAGTGATGTGTGTCAGTGTGAGAGCACTTTGTGTGGGCGCTGTGTGTCAGTGTGTGAGTGTAGTGTGTCAGTGTGTGAGCACTGTGTGTCAGTGCATGAGCGCTGTGTGTCAGTGTGAGAGCACTTTGTGTGATGGCTCTGTGTGTCAGTGTGAGAGATGTGTGCCAGTTTGAGTGCTGCCTCATTCATTTTCATAAGCCATGTCCACAGAGAGGCCACGGGTCCTGCACAGCTGAACAATGCGATCGTAGCGTTCGCCTTCTCCCCATCAGGCAATTACCTGGCAGCCATAGCTGACAACAAGCAGCTGATATTGTTTCACACCAGGCCCTGGAGGTGCCTCAGTGTTCGGTAGGTATTGTTATGGATTTACTTTCTCAGTCCTATTTAGCTATACGTGTGGACTATACGTGTGTGTCAGATCCTCTCGGAGATAACCCTTTTCCAGGCTGAAGAGTGCTAGGAATTCATCACAGTTTATCACTCATTTAAAGCCGGGATTGACTTTGTTGCTCTTCTCTGCACTGCCTCTTCTCGAGGCCGGCCTCTTGTGTCCTCATGACAGGGACTGTATGTAGAACTGCAGATGTGAGTGCAGTTCTACATACATACAGCAGAACCAAAACACTGTGCAGTTTGAACAAGCCTTTCTGGATCTGAACTCACCTGATTTGTTAATGTAGTCAAACACCAGATGTAGTCTATATGCTGACTGTCCACATTAGTCAGGT